TCCTTCGTTAAAGGGCACTGCGGACGCATGTGTCCTCTCCAGGATGCTTACCCTGCTGATAGTATCTAGTCGTTAATTTTAGTTCAAGCTGTTGTTATAATAAAAGCCTTTATAGAGGCAGGTGACCTAGAAGTAGAATGCCAACCAATAAATGTAGAATTACAGAATTAAAAAATCACAGTGGGTAATGAGCAAAATATTTACATGATCTCAAAGTATCTCTCCACAAATGATCTAATTCTTCATTCAGTTACAAAGGGGAAAATAGTAAATTTAAAATGAACAAATCTGGCAGACATCAGCTTAACCCAGTGATCAGAGTAAACTTCAGCATTAATGGGACAACTGACATCACTTCCGTGCTGTTCCTGCCCCGCATACAAAACCCGAACCTAGTCATGTGGAACCAGGAGACCAATCCAAATTGAGGAACATTCTACAAACTACCCGGCCTGAACTCTTAAAAAATGCCAGCGTGATGAGAGCCTGGGGAACTCTTCAAGATTCAGAGAGACACATGTAACCATGTGGGGCAGCTAAATGTAACGTATAACCCTGTACCAAGAAAAAAGGAATTGCTCTAGGGGAGCTACTGGGACAAATGACAGAATTTAAATATGGACCAATGGTTAGATAATGGTTATTATATCAGTGTTAAACTTCCTGATTTTGATAACTATACTTACGGTTATAAGTTATGACAGAGTGTTCTTAAGGAAATATATATTGAAGTTTTGGGGATAAAGAGTAAACATCTGCAACTTACTTTCCAATGACTCAAGAAATACATGCAGCCGGGACTGGTTTGGCTCAATGGATAGAGCGTCGGCTTGGGGACTGAAGGGTCCCAGGTTCGATTCCGGTCAAGGGCATGTACCTTGGTTGCGGGCATATCCCCAGTAGGGGGTGTGCAAGAGGCAGCTGATGGATGACTCTCTCTCATCGATGTTTCTAACTCTCTCTCTCTCTCCCTTCCTCTCTGTACAAAATCAATAAAATGTATTTAAAAAAAAAAAAAAAAAAAAAAAAAAGAAATACATGCAAAGGTAGATGCAGGAGAAATCCAAGATGGCTGCTCAGGTAGACACCTAGCCGCAGCCGCACACAACAATTTCAATAAAATACAACTAATATATAAAATGGACATTACCCAGAACTATAGGAAAGTCGACTGACTGGAAATTCTACAACGAGAAGCAAGGAGAAAACCAGAAGGAAGCACGGAGGAGCTGTAAAAGCCCAAGGTACGGAGACACACGGCGTGCAGAGAGGACGGAGCCTGAGAGGAGGGAGGCTGAATGCCTGGCTGGCGTTCCCTAGCAGGAAGGAGATAAAAGCTCCAACTGTGCTGGGCCCCAGTTCCGACTGCTCTGAACCCCAGTTCTAGGCCAGACCCCGGGACCCAGGCTCATCCACAGGGAGCTGGGCTGTAAGGTAGAACCCTGGGGGAGCGGCAAAAGGAGGTCCCGGAGGCACGCACATTGCGCGCAGAGAAGGGACGGTTGGCTGTGCCACAGGATTGCCCTGGTGGGAAGGAGACAGGGGCTCCAGACTGCTCTGAACGCTACCTCCAACTCCACTCCAACTGAACTGAACCCCAATACCGGGCTCATTGGGGGAGAGCATAGACTGTTTGGTAGCAGGCAAAAATCGAGGGCACCTTTCTCTCAAAGGCGCTTGTAAGGAGTACTGAAGGACCCTGAGACACAGGAGCCACATAGGGCGGGGCTGATGGAAGCCAAAGCTGTAGGCTCCACCCTGAAACCCCGCCCCATCAGGGAAGCTGTGAAAATGCCAAGACGAAATAGATCACAAACGAAAGAAATGGAGGACAAAAAGCGACTGGATATAGAGTTCAAATCTACGCTTATAAGGTTTATCAAGAATTTCCTAGAAAAGATTGATAAGACCTGTGAGGATATGAAAAGGGATCAACTAGAATTAATAAGGAATCAACAAGAAATGATAAGGGATCAACAAGAAATAAAGAATACATTGTCTGAAATAAAAAATATTATACAGAGTCCTAAAAACAGAATGGAAGATCACAAGAATCAAGTAAAAGATTTGGAACATAAAGAGCCAGAAGACACTCCTCTGCAGAGGATAGAAGGCAAGAGAATCCAGAAAATTGAAGATAATGTAAGAAACCTCTGGGACAACTTCAAGCGAACCAACATAAGAATTATGGGGGTCCCAGAAGATGAAAGAGAGCAAGATATCGAAAACATACTGAAAGAAATAGTGACAGAAAACTTCCCCCACCTGGGGAAAGAATTAGACTTACAAGTCCAGGAAGCGCACAGAACTCCAAACAAAAGGAATCCAAAGAGGACCACACCAAGACAAATCATAATTAAAATTCCAAGAGCAAAAGACAAAGAGAGAATATTAAAAGCAGCAAGAGCAAAGCAGGTAGTAACCTATAAAGGAGCACCTATACGATTGTCAGCTGATTTCTCAACAGAAACCATGCAGGCCAGACGGGAATGGCAAGAAATATCAAGGTGATGAATAGTAAAAACCTACAGCCAAAGATAATCTATCCAGCAAAGCTATCACTCAGAATCGAAGGCCAGATAAAGAGCTTCACTAATAAAAAAAAAGCTAAAGGAGTTCATCACCACCAAACCAGAATTATATGAATTGCTGAACGGGGTTCTTTCGGAAGAGAAAGTAAATAAAGATAAAAATTATGAACAACAGCCAGGACTGGTTTGGCTCAGTGGATAGAGCATTGGCCTGAGGACTGAAAGGTCCTGGGTTTGATTCTGGTCAAGGGCATGTACCTTGGTTGCAGGCACATCCCCAGTAGGGGGTGTGCAAGAGGCAGCTGATCGATGATTCTTTCTCATCGATGTTTCTAAGTCTCTATCCCTCTCTCTTCCTCTCTGCGAAAAATCAAAAAAAAATATTTTAAAAAAATTATGAACAACAAATACATAACTATCAACAAGTGAATCTAAAACCCAAGGAAATTAAAAAAAAATCTGATGAACAATATTAACTGTTGAATATAATAGAATCAGAGGTATGGAAGGGGAGTGAACTGATGATTCTTGGGAAAAGGGGAGAGGGGGATGTGGGAAGAGACTGAACATAAACTGTGCACCTATGGATGAGGACAATGGGGGGTGGGGAAAAGGCAGAGGGTGGGGTGGGAAGCTGGTGGAGGAGAGCAATGGGGGGGGGGAGGGAAGGAACATTTGTAATAATATGAACAATAAAAATTTATATATATATAAAAAAAGTAGATGCAGCAAGTCATTCAGTTATAAAGCATCTGGTAAAATGTAAATACTTGGGAAATTTGGATGAAGAATATGTTGGTGTTCGTTGGGGTAGTCCTGTAACTTTTCGGTAAGTTTGAAATTATATTAAAATGTAAAAAGTTACCAAACAAACCAAAATCCAACAAGGGAGGAGTCAGAATTATGGTACAGCCGCTCTGAAGAAGCCTTAGACACAACCTTACGAAGTTTGTGCAGCTACACAACAATACAGACAAAACGTTTGTAACATATACAGAGTCAAATGATAAAAGCAGAATACAAAATATTCTACGTGTATATTTTTATAACTATGCCAAAGCAAGCATATAAGAAAGGCTGTGAGGATACAATCAAAGGTGATAACAAGCGTAATAGTGAAGTAGAAAGAGAATGAGTGACTTAAAAAAACAACAACCTGTTGAAAAAAAAACTTGCTGGCACTGACACTCCCCACCCTCCCCCCCTTCACTACAGGCCAGTGTCTAGGAAATCCCTGCTGTTTATGGCATTTTCCTGCCTTTGGCTACCACTCCCCAAACTTGAACCACCCACAAAAAATCCGGACATAGGAGGTCTAAGTGCCTCAGGCAGAGACATCTTTGCCGGTGGTGGGGTGAGTGTGCACAAGTAGGCAGTCTGCCAGCCCGGCCGTCAGAGCATCTCGGCAGTCCCTCTGACCAGCCAGCTCAAGCAGCTGTGGACACAGTGGGGAGAGGCCCAGCAGCAGCACATCTCGAAGGCCTCCCTGCCAGGCCAGCACTGGAGGAGGGGGAGGGAGGGGAAGGTGGGAGGAGGGTTGAAGGGCTTCATCTCGTGCTGACAACACCGGTCCTCCCCATGGCATGCTTCCTCTTGGGCACAGACAGTAAGCTAATTTGGAACCTTAAAAGGTTTAGGAACTCTTGGATGACCTTACCTAGAAGCAGAGTGCCTGGCTCTTGTCTATGGGGATAAAGAGTTAACTCATCAGTCCTGGACACTTTTTAAAAGGACTTTTGATGGGTGGCAAAAGGAGTTCAAAACCCAAGACTTTGCTTTCAGAAGGCAAGACTCGGAGCTCCCTGGCAGCTTAGGGAAACAGTGCGGGCATAAAAGAGAAAGTCTGCTCCTTTGCAGGAGAATTGGTTTTCCCTCTTAGTGTAAGAGACATCTTTAAAACTCCTCTAAAGAAGTGGGGTCAGGGATGAAACGATTGGAGAGACCTGTCGCTGTGGTAGAGGGAGGAAAGGAGCTCCACCGAAGCTGTGAACTCCTGCAGCAGAAGCTCACTCTCCTGGGGCAGCACCCAGGTTAGTGTTCCCAACGGCACCCCAGCCTAAAGGGAAAGCACCACATTCTGAGTCATGTGACCTGATTTTAAAATATTTTATTACATAATCTTTTCATGGCACCGTCAGGAGTAACAGAAAACGTTATTCCCAGTTCCTAACCACATCCTGAAAAATATACATATGTATTTATATATTTATATCAATACTCCACCCCATCCCATAATTCCACCACCTATTATAGGTCTTTTGCTTAAAGCAAGAAACTATTCTCTCAGGTAAGAAAATATATATGGGAGCTAAATGCAGTAAGGGTTAGAATGGCGGGACAGCTGGTTGTGGGGCAGGGTGGAAAGGTGAAGTCAGGTTAGGCAGGATGCATCACGGGTCCAGCAGAGGTGGAGGAGGACAGTGTATAAAAAGGCAGCGTCAGGCAGGTGGGCTCTGTGTCCTTGGTCCATTAGGAGATGGCCTTTGCCTCAGGAAGGAAGGCTTCCCAGTACTTTGCCAGCTGTAAAGAAGTGGGGACAGTAAGCATGTGTCCCCGTCCAGTGGCAGAGCCTGAGCTTGGAAGGGAAGTAAGCCCAGAGCTATGGCACTCCCCCAAGAGCCTCAGCCACCCCCAAAGGGAGGCCTGAGGTTAGGTGGAGCTGAGGAAATGGTGAGGCTAAGAGTGGATCTTGGGACAGACTGGCCAGCCAGTCACACTGCCCAATATCTTTCTATATCCTATATATTAAAGAGGGAATATGCTAATTGACCCTTATGCCATCACAAACAGTGACGGTGCCCAAAGCCAATAACGAGGAAATAAGCTAATTGACTGTTCCATCTTCAAAGATAGTGGCACCCAGAGCCAATAAGGAGGGAATATGCTAATTGACTGCCACACCTTCAAAGATGGAAGCACTCACAGATACAAGATGGCAGTGCCCAGTCTTCTCAGCCTCACCGGCTGCTCAGGGCTGCCCAAGGCTTGGGCTACCAGCAGTGGCAGCAGCAGAGATGTGAGGGGGCGTCGCCTTCCTGGTTTCAGGGTCACCTCCTGCCCCTGAGGGCTCCCGGACTGTGAGGGAGGTAGGCCGGGCTGAAGGACCCCCCCTCTAGTGCATGAATTTTCATGCATCAGGCCTCTAGAATAATCTCTGAAGATAGTCCTGGGTCTGCCCCAGAGGAAGCATCTCTGTAGAGGTCACATCTTTGCCCAGCTAGGTTAGCTCCTCACAGTGGGGCCATTGTTCCACATATGGATTGGGTTAAGTGGTATCAAGGGGTTAAAGGGAGAGGACAGTTGGGGTTTGCTCTTAAAAACAAACTCATTTAGCCGAAACCGGCTTGGCTCAGTGGATAGAGCATCGGCCTGCGGACTGAAGGGTCCCAGGTTCGATTCCGGACAGGGGCATGTACCTTGGTTGCGGGCATATCCCCAGTAGGGGGTGTGCAAGAGGCAGCTGATCGATGACACTCTCTCATCGATATTTCTAACTCTCTCTCTCCCTTCCTCTCTGTAAAAAAAAAAAAATCAATAAAATATATTTAAAAAACAAAAAAAAACAAAAAAACAAAAAAACAAACTTATTTATTTTAAGATTAGGGCAATCCTGCTTAGCAAAAGACCCTATTGGATGTTCCATGTTAGAACAACAGTGTCTACTTTTAATTATTGATTATAGCAGGGCACGGGCACCTCCTAAGCCCCCTCCCCGCTCCCAGCAGGGCCAGCCCATCCTGTCACAAAGCCACAAGCAGACAGCTGGTCTGTGGAGTACACAGCCGAGGATCAAAGTCGGGCATAACTCACATACCTGCTGCTGTGAGTACAGGAGCGTCTCAAGGTACTTGATCACGTGGTTTCTGAAGTCCTTGGATTTCTCTTTCTATAGGAGACAGGATTCTACACTGACCACCCAGACAGGGCTTCTTCCCCTCTTGATAGGATGGTGGTGGTTACTGCTGACCAATGCTGAACATAGCTCAGGAAGTGGAGCCAGCAGCTGAAATAGCTATAATTTCCAGCCAAACAGCCTCTGCCAAGGTCTTTCAAGGTTTTTTTTTTGTATGGCAGGGTGTGGGGAGACAGGACAGGAGACCAGAGGGTACATGACAGCTGCAAGTTTATTTTGGGTCTAACTGCTCTAGTTCAGCAGCAACAAGTGCCTTAGGAACAAACATAGAGACGTGAACATGAAGACAGACACACAGACACACAGACACAGATACACAGACACACACACACAGCCACTCCTTTTCATAACAACTGCCAAGCTACTGGCAGCTCCACCTGTCTCTCTACACAATAGACTCGGACAAAACCAACGCCACTCCTCACGCAGGCACGGCGCACCTGTGAGAAGTAAGCTGCTATCTCACCTCAAAGCGGATCACTTCTTTTCGGACCACAGTTGAAATCCTTTCAAAGTCCCTTTCATACTGAGTCACCCGAGACTCCCACTGGGAAGAAAGAGGAAAAAAAGGATCACTTACTGTTACGGGGTCGTTATCAGTCTTTTGTCTTTGGACAGCAATTCTGTATTTGAGACCTCAATTGGCCGTTCTGTCTGTCTCCCTCAGGGTAAGATCAGATGGCATGTGGGGATTTAGTGTGTAAGGCAGAGCCGGCAGAAGGCCACCTTGGGCTGGCTGGAAAGGATGCCTGGTTCGCAGGCCGATCCTGCAATCAGGAAAACCCCTAACTGCAGAGCTCTGGTCGGGTCCTCACCAACAAGGCTGGGCGCCCAAAGAACTGAATTCCTTCTCACCGGGGGGGGGCACATCTGAATTACCTTTTCCAAGATCCTGCCAGGACCTTCCAGCAGACTGTCTGGAAGTCTGGGTGAATGGGAAGAGGAAGAGGGCAGGCCTCAAGGCCAGCCAGCAGCCGCCGTCCTTCACACTCATCCCCTCTCTCACCTGAGGTGGCATGCCCAGCATCGGGGTGGAACGGGACCGGCAAACGCCCACGTCGGGCTGCCCTGGGCCTCACCTCCACGATCTCGTCCTTGGCCTGCTGCAGCTTGTCGGGCTTGTTGGCCCACAGCAGCCGAGCCTCAGCCTCCCGCTTCTTCTGCAGTGTGGCTTGAGCGTCCTGCCAGCGCTGCCACGTCTTCATGCGCTGGTCGAAGGCAGCCTGTGGGGTGAGGTGTTGGGGAAGAGCACAACCAGCCTCAGGAGATCCACCGGCTCCGCCTGGGGGCTCTCCCAGCGGCTGGGCTAGGGAAGCACCGAGCAAGGGCAGGTTTCGCAGCCCAGTGTTAGTGCCCAGCTGAAGTTTAATGTCAAAAAGCAGAAGCTTGGGTGAGACTCCTCTCCCAGCCTCCAGAGGGCCAGCGCCATGCTGCTGCATGCCACTCCCAAGGCTGGATGGCTGGGAGCACCAGAGGTGGCCGGAGGCCAGTGCCCAGTACTACAGCTCTGAACCCCTCCCTCAGGCCAGCCAGTCCATGAACCTACACACTCCTCCCGAGTGCTCGCCATGTGCCAGCAACTACGGACGCAGTGGGGAATGAAACACATGGCTCTCCTTTCATGGAGCTTACACTCTATTAGAAAAGACCGACATGACGTTATTAATCACCAATCAGTAATTACAAGTATGCAGAGTACAGAGAAAACAAGCAGGGCACTTTAATAAAACTGGGGACCTAGCTTAGCCTGGGAGATATATCAGGGAAGGCTAACATAAGAGACTTGAACATGAAGTCTTTAAATGGACAACCAAATAGCATGCAGGGTTAGCGCAACAGATCTTTACACACGTAAAGCCCCCGCAGGGACATAGTGCTGTCGCCCATCCATATACTCAGTTGCTCCCGGCTATCAGTGCCCCAGAAGCTCCCTGAAACCCGCCTGCTGGTTTCCCTGGTTCTAGTCACTCACCCACAACAAGATTTCCAGAGGACAGTGGTTGGCCTAACCAAACCACCCCATGCCCACTGCCTTTGCGGGCTTCCAGAGACAGTCCGGGGGAAAGACTGTGCCTCTCGGCCCTGTTCCATTTGCTCCCCTTCCTGGCGTAATAAGTCCCCTGGAGGCTTTCGGGGTACAGGGCTTTGCCGAAACTTGAACCTCAGGGAGTGAGATGCCACCAAATTTACTTTCCCCAGCACTGCCACTAGGACCACTTGAAATTTCTTAACAGCTCAAAGTCAAAGAATTGGTAAAGGGGGACCTCACACCTGGGTAAGACTCAAGCCTAACCCCGGGCTCACAGGGCACAGCCCACCTTCAGGGGGAGGGAGAGGAAATCAGCTCCCTCTCTGTTCTCACCAGCAGCTCACGGCCATGGGGAGGGCAGGGAAAGTCTCAGGGAAAAGCCCCGCTGGCAGCTCTGCGCCAGGCCTGCTGCCCCAGCTCCTGGAGCTTTAAGCCAGGCCTCCCTCACCCCACAGGGGCTCCCCTGCCCAGACTCCATATCCCACCCCTGCCCTCCAGGGACCCCATACTATGCTCTTCTCTGACAGCTTCCCCAGAGAGTGCTCTTCCCTGGAATGGCTCTCCAGTCTAAGCAGTCTGACCAGTTCTAACAATTCCAAAGCAGGTTATTTTTCCAGCTTCTTATCACTCTGGGATAGCAAACCAAAAAGCAAAGTGACAGGACAATGAGCAGGCCCACAGAGGAAACGAGAGCCCTGGGAGCAGAGCACCGGAGCCTCTGCGCGGGGAGATGGGGGATGGAGGGTGAAAGTGGCACGGCTGCAACTCAGCGGCTCGTTCTTTCTGGGCCCGAGTCAGACCCGGGGCGGACTCAGGCCGTACAGGGCTCTTTCCTCTGTCTCAGGGATGTCATGCGAGAGCTAATCCCACTTCCCAGTGAAGCTTCCTGGGCTGCTCCGAGAGGTCATGGGAAACCAGTGTCCTGGCCGCCAGGAGAAGGCGAGCTGCTTGCCTGAGGGGCAGGCTGCAGTGTTGTTACCAGTGTGGTCAGCACAGCACACAAAGGGCTCTGGTGACAAGCTCTCTCAGCCCCTGGGCACACTCCTCCATGCAATGCCAAGCTGGTTCTGTAGTTACCTGACTGCTCACACTGGAGGACAAGTGGAAGCCAGCAAGAGCTCTTACCAGGCAGAGCCACCGCTTACTGTTAAGGAGGCAAAGACCAGAGGACTGAGGCAATGACTGTGCCAGGGCGCCTGACAGCCTGGCTTGAGAGGAGCCTGAGGATACTGTCCAGCTTCAATAACAAGGAGAGGCCACAGGGAATTCAGGCATGGTCTCTTCTCCTAATGCGTTAAACCTGGCTGTGGGCCTCAAAATGACCTAGCAGTAACTAGCTAACAGTTAAGTGGATTTCTTGGTTCATAGGATGCCTTCTCTCTTGAGAATAGAAAAGGTTTCAGCTATTTTGAAGTATAATGAATTGAACTTTTCGGGAAGGGGAGAGCAAAGGGAAGACAAATGAAGTCGGGGGAGGAGAAAGAGGAAAGAAGCTTACTCGGACTATGGCCAGGAGGCGAATGTAGTCGCTCAGGAGCTCGGCAAGGAGGAAGAAGTCACTGTTGGCCTGCTCCTGGTGGAGCTGCTCAACTTTTTCTTCCACCTCAGCCAGCTGGGAGAGCGCCCGTGACAAGGCCGTGTTGTCCTCTGAGCTCCCAAGCATGGCTAGACTCTTTGCGAACTGGGCCGTGTTCAGCGCTAGCTCTGGAAGGAAGACAGCAGAGGCTCTTATCTCGCAAGGAAAAGGGAGAAGTCAAAAACAAAACAAAACAAAATAAAAGGAACAAGTCAGCTGGTACCTGGCTGTCTCAGCAATGCTGCCCCTGCTTATTGGGCTACTGTGGGCTTTGCAACCCAGTCACACCACACTCAACAGTATTCAAAAGTGAGGGAATGCAGCCTGGCCACAAGAATAGGGAGAGGCACCTGCTAGCATGAGTTCCACTAGTTGGGTCTCCCTGGAAAAAGCAGCTCCACTATTCCTGAAGAGCCAGAGGCCAGTTAATACCAACGGGCCAAAGGAACGATTCCGTTTATGCTCGGGCTCATGGCAAGAAGCCTGTCTGCATGAGAGTGGATGCTGTCACACGGCACAGCCTTGCATATTCTAAAGCAGGACGAACTTCTTATGTGAAGGGCCACATATCTGAAGCGTTGCAGGCCACATATGGTCTTACGTGCTTTTTAAAAAATTCATCCTTTAGAAATGTAAACACCGTTCCTAGCACAGCAGTAGGCCCTGGGCCAACCCTTGCAATGGTCTCATTCTAATGGTTTTTGCCTCTTTAGGTTTCTGTTGGTCCAGCATGCTTAAGGCAGAAAAGGAAAGCATTCAAACTTGGTAAAGTTCGCTAGCTCTTAAGCAAATCTCACTAAAGAAAAAATGAGAAAGGGTTTTAGGAGACATATCTGGTTTCCCTACCTTTACAAATAGCTCATTTGACCAGGTAGCTAAAGTCTATAATATAATTTTGTGGATATAACTCGAACAGAAGCCCACGTCCCAGGTCTAGCTGTACCCAGGTGGAAAGTACAATGCCCACAGTGACTGAGTCAGGTTTCTTGCCAGGAGATGCAGGCATATCTTTCAATCGGAACATCAGGACCAGGTGGGCAGAGGATTGCAATGTGAATGGCCGAGAGGCTTGGGAAAAGCATGCTCTCCCATGTCCAGCTCACTGGAGCCATTCATTTCCCCCGGCTCCAAGTGCATGTCAGAGGTTGTTACCTTTCCTATGGTTGACTAGAGTTTCTACAACAGCATGCAGTTTCCGTAAGCGCTGCTCCTCACACTCTACCTCCTGGAGCTTCTCCTCAAACCACTGAAACACACAAGCCCAGAGCTTTAATGGAAGCTATTCACACAGCTGCAGCACAGACTTTCCTTAGCAGTTTTTTAAAACGAACTGAATTATCTTAAAAAGAAAGTCTCTAATTTCAGAAATTTCACGATACCTCAGGGCTTCCAATCTGTAAGCCTGAGGGAGTAGGGGCAGCACAGGACTACTCACAATGTCTGATTCGTTCATCTTGATGGTCATTTTGCTAACGGCATCCGTGGCTTTGTTGAACATCTTGAGGAGACCGGCGCCACTCAATGTCTGGGTACCCACAGCGCGTGGCAGCTACAAGACCAAGAAGGCGGGGCCGGCAAGTTATCTGCTGCCGCTATTTTAGGTTCGGAGAATTAGTATCTATCAGAGGGCATGCCCAAAATGTGCCAGACAAATTATCTGAACTGCAGATGGTTGTTTTCAAAGGCAGACAAATCTATAACCAGCATGTTCAGAAGAAGAAAAAAAAATCAAAGGACCATGCTAAACAGAATCAGCAACATTTTCTGCTTTTGATTTTGTATGCAGAAAGCAGTGTGTGAATGCTGTGGGCCCAGGTGACCTCAGGTTGAGACTGTCTGCCCACCCAGGCATGAAGTGCTTAAATACCAAGTATGCTTTTGTCAAAAGTCAAAAGTTCCTTTGGATTAGCATACTCTGCACACACCTGGACTTAAGGTCTTGAAAGTCTTTGAAGTTGTGCTCTGATTCTATTTGGATTTTCCCCAGTGATTAAAGATCCAAGAACAGAAACATTATTTATTCAGATTGAGGCTATGTTTAGTGATGATCTAATCAGGAAGAAAAAAAAAAGGCCAAATATTTATAATAATTTGATTGGTTCAATCTTTCAGAACTTTCCTAAGACATGGAAGGGATGCTGAAAAATCTATATATACAGCAAACCATAATGGAAAATTAGATTTTGGACACTTAGAGCAGTAATTCTCAATATGACACTACTTTGCGCGTGCTCCCCTCTCCCCCCCTTACACACACACACACACACACACACTTGGCTATATCTGGAGATAATTTTTGTTGTTAAAACTGGGAAGGGGGTTGCTACTGGCATCTAGTGGATAGAGCTGTACAATGCATGGACAGCCCCTACAACAAAGAATGATCCAGCCTGAAGTGTCCCCAGGGCCACAGTGTACACAACCCCTGCTCTAGGGGAACAAGTGAGATAGGTGGGTAGAACAGAAAAATGGACTTAGGAATCCCAGAGGAGGAGTGAAAAGATTTAAAGCGCCAGACAGAATTTTTAATTAAAACTTTACAGTTGGGGATGGGGATGGCAGGGAGAAGACCCATATATTTAGTAGCACTTTCTTTACTTGAATACTAGATACTATATGCAAATTAAAAAATACAAATACAAAATATAGTCCTGTCCTTTCATTTATTTCCTTCTAGTTTTCTTTCCTATGAGTTACAAAATTATTTTATTATAGCGGTTTTGTTTTTTTAATCCTTGCCCAAAGATATTTTTCCATTGCCTTTTTTTTTTTTTTAAAGAAAGAATATATTTGAGAAGATAGAGGAAAGAAGGTGGAGGGTGGAAAGAAAGAATGGGAAATTGGAATAATTAAGGTATTCATGATCACTACTCCAGAGAGCTCAGAGCACATTTGCTTATAGGATCTTATTCATCTATTTCATGTTTTTGTTTTTAAAAAAATATATTTTATTGATTTTTTACACAGAGGAAGGGAGAGAAATAGAGAGCTAGAAACGTCGATGAGAGAGAAACATCAACCAGCTGCCTCTTGCACACTCCCTACCGGGGATGTGCCCGCAACCAACGTATATGCCCTTGACCGGAATTGAACCTGGGACCCTTCAGTCCGCAGACCGACGCTCTACCCCTGAGCCAAACCAGTTTCGGCTACTTCATGTTCTTATAAGTCTTGGAAAGGCTTCATTTCCATCTCATGAATGATGACATGGTACATGTGATTTGGCCAGGTTGTCCCAGGTATGGCCTTAGCCCACCTGGAAACTAGGCTCTTGGAGATGGATCCTGTATTTTGTTAGTCTTTGTGGCTTTGTCTCTACTCTATAGAAAGTGCCTGGCTTGGGGGTTTATGGTGAGCACATGGACATAGATATTTTTTTCACAAAGAGAATCCAAAGATTAAGGTTTCCTTTTTATTCTTGGAGGAATAGTGGGTTAGATGACTCCATTACTTTAAATATAAATATATTTCAGAGAGGAAGGGAAGGGAGAGGGAAAGAGAGAAATGATGAGAGAATCACTGATGAGAGAGAATCACTGATCGGCTGCCTTTTGAACCCCAACCCCTCCCCATTGGGATTGAGCCTGCAATCCAGTCATGTGTCTTTGACTGGAATAGAACCCGGGACCCTTCTGTTCCTGGGCTGACACTCTATCCACTGAGCCAAACTGGTTAGGGCTCCATTGATTTTTAGAGAGAATGGAATAGAGAGGGAGACAGAGAGAAATATTGATGTGATAGAAAAACATCGATTGGTTGCCTCCTGCAAGCACCCTGACCTGGGCCTCAGCCAGGGAAGAGCCTGAAACCAAGGTGCGTGCCGTTGACCAAAACAGAACCTGGACCCTTGGTCTGCAGGCTGGTGCTCCACCCACTGAGCCAAACCGCCAGGGCTCTAGTGATCCTTAATGACTAACATTTCTACACCTGTATTTTCATGTTGTTTCATGTTTTACTTCTTATCATTTTCATATATGTTTCCAGCAAATATATATAAACATTTCTGTAAACTTTGTTTATGATGAGAACAAAGTACTTGCTGTATTGATAAGTTTTACTTAATTCTTCAATTGTTAGCAATTGGGCTGTCTCCAATTTCTCACAATCGTGAATAGCCTACACATAGCCTGTAAAAAAAAGACTGTTCACTTGAATCAATACTTTTGCTACATTGCAGTTCTGTGGTTTGTGGTAACTGGTTTTGAACCAATGCCCCTCAGCTCCTGGCATAAAAAAATGTATTCAATTTGAGCCAAGTAGTAACCTATGAAAGACATGCCAAGGGCTTGCCAAACAGATCACTGTGTTGATCCAGTAAAAAAACTAGATTGCAGTGTGACCTCTACCCCAGTTGCTTTTGACTAGAGGCAGAGCTTCTTTTCTGTCAATGGCTGAAAAATAGTTGTCACTCTTAGGTGTTTACAAAGTAGGACATAGTCTGGTACTAGACTCTATGCATGTTAAGTGCTCAAATATTCATTTGAGAACTAGTTTCGTTTAGCTTGGGACAGCTATCACTTAGGAAATTCAGTCTGTATAATACTAACCTCTTCTTTTTCCAAGAACTCCCTGACCTCAGGGTCCTGTAACATGGTAGGATGGTTCACAATCCTCTGCAGGTACCTACGGGGTAAGCAGTTATCTGGTTAGTCAGGCTGGCCTCCCTGGTTCTGAGTGTCATGGAGTGCCAGCAGGGTTGCAATGTCTTTCATTACTTTAAAATATCCTCAGGTAAGGCGCTTAAGTATAACTCTGCTTGTAAGCACATTCAAGTTCATGTTCTTCACATTTCTAAAAGGGGAAGAGAAATAACTGGTCAGAAAGAGACCTCAGTTATTCATATTTGACTGCCCCAGGAGAGGAGGACTGGCTGCCTACTCAGGATGGGGAAATAAAAGATGGTCTGTTCCTGAGCTGAGCAGGTAAGAGACTTGGGGGAAGTTAGACTTACTTTGAAGGTGTGAGTCTTTCATTCACCCACGTATCTCATCTCTACTAACTCCAGTGAACATCTTACAATTGAGTCTAAGGTTTCAGCTTCTCACTAGTTCTCATGTTACTTAGGAAAATGGTTGTATGGCACTTACCTTTCTAGAGCAGCCCTCCGTTTTTCAAGAAATTCTGCAGAAGAGGAATCTTCTTTCCCAACTTTTACTTTTGTCATTCCTGAAATAGAATTGAAAAGCAAAAATAATTAATAAGCATCGTAAGAAAGCCCACAGGAGGAAAAGCAATGAGAACAGCACTACAAAACAGAACCAAAGGCCACTTCTATGCCATGAGCATTAATAGAAGATCCTTAAAGCAAGTCATTTGTGAAATTGGTCTTGAAATGCTGAAGGATCTAAACTCTGGGACTTGCAGAGTCTATGTTTTCTAAAAGGGGGGCCCATAGGACTCTGAGTATAGATCAAACATCAACTGAGGATGATGGGAAGGTTCTTTCCCCTCAATCCCCATCCAATTTATATTTCAATTTGGAAGGAACAGCAATCATTTAAGTCTCCTAGATACCAATACACACACACACACACACACACACACACACACACACCCTACCTGTGGAAGCTAACATGTAATATTCTACAATATCCAAGGAAAGAGAACATGTCAAAATGTGCTATTTCTCTAGACCTCCTGAGACTTATAGGAAAATACTGGAAATAATTTCTTTTCTAACCACAAGACTCTACATTGTTATATGAAATAGTTTTGGTGGAAAATACATTGCAGAAGAATGCAAAGAAAACACCCAAGCAAAATTACAGACCAGAGGCTTACCAATTAGGCTCTTCTCAGGTGGAGGAGGGACAATGAAGCCATTCTGAGAGTGTTTCTCTGAAAGCTTCTCATAAAGACCCAGAAAGTCACTAAATCTTCTTTTCACCGAAAACTGTTTACTTCTGAACATTGGTAGGCTCGTCTTGGGTACAGAAAAAAAAGAAGGCAATTTCATTTCAAATAAGGAATGAAGGAGTATCTTGAAAGTTGTCCAGCTGACATCAAAGGCATTTATTTCCCAGATCCCTGTTTTAGTCATCTGGTAAATAACTTTCTCCAAGGCTGAGATTCTTAAAATTTTGAGCTATAGCTACCTTTGGCTCTCTGGAGTCTACAGAGCCCTTCTCAGAATAATTATTTTAAATGCATAAAACACAAATGATTTCAGAAGGCAGCCAATTAAATTTAAGTATACAGTTTCCTTCCCAGGATAACAACCCTTGTTCTAAGGAAACATGTTTAGTCTAGTATAAAGCTAGAATTCTATGGTCACCTATAACCCATTCACCCTGCACTGACTTATAAAGGATGTTAGCTGCTAGAATTAAAGCCACGAAACTAAATATGGACTAAACAGTGCTTCTAAGGGGGACGATCAGATGAAATGTCTATGCTGCAAACATTTTATTTTATTTTTTTAATATATTTTTTTATTGATTTTGTACAGAGAGTAAGGGAGAGAGATAGAGAGTTAGAAACATTGATGAGAGAGAGTCATCGATCAGCTGCCTCTTGCACATCCCCTACTGGGGATATGCCCGCAACCAAGGTATATGCCTTTGACTGGAATCGAACCCGGGACCTTTCAATCCCCAAGCCGATGCTCTATCCATTGAGCCAAACCGGTTTCGGCAGCTGCAGACATTTTAACCCCTAAGGTGTCACACAATATAGAACAAGTAGGGGACAGAGAAACAAGTAGCAGAGAGCCAACATAAAGTAGACTTCTAGTAAAATAGACTAGGCCTGCATGATAATGGGAGATCATTGAATATTCACCAGATAGGCAAACTTTAAGGAGATTGGCCTTGCCAGTGATTAACAAGAAAGTGTATCAATAGGAACTTTTACACACTGCCAATGGGAGTATAAATTAGTGCAAAGACTACGCTGTATTCCTTTCCCAAATTTGCATGACCTAGGAGAACTGGCTCTATACTCGACAGAAACTCTTCTATGCTTATACTAGGAGACTATGCAAAAATGTTCATAATTCATAACTATAAAAACAGCATATATGCCAAATATCTATATCTACATATCTATATATCTATATATCTATATTTATATAAGTCTAAGTGACCATTACGACTGAATGACCACCAGGGGGCAGCTCCTGTGTTGAGTGTCTATCCCCTTATGGGCAGTGTGCTCCCACAGCCAGCCCTCCCCCCATCCCTGCCCCAGTCGGCAGGCCCCTAATGACCTGGCCCAAATTGGCCCTGATAGCTGGCCCGGCCTAGGGACCCCACCCATGCACTAATTCATGCACTGGGCCTCTAGTTCACGACATAAAAATAGATAAGTATGTTATGCTATAATCACACAATAAACTAACTGTAGCTACACATAACATGGATGGGTTGAGAAACAATGCTAGTAAAACAAGCACTATTTTCAGCATGATGCCATTTTTATGAAAATCAAGAACAGAGCAAAACAGTATATTGTTTAGAGATACACATATGAAGACTTTTTTTTTTTTTTTAATAAAGGAGCGACAACTCAGGAGAGTAGTCATCTCTAAAGTGTGAGGCAGGGATATGACAGAGAGAGACACAGGAGGGATTCAATGGTACTCATCTTAAGAATGATGGTAGGTTCAGGGCTTCATATTTTAATGCTTTATAACATGCATACAACATTGTTTAAGTTTTGTATGCTTTAAGATTATATAAAAAAGGAAGACCAGACCTAAGGGCAAAAGGTTAAGGAAAGTATTAAAAGAAGTTACACATAGCAAACCTGAGAAGAAGTGACCATTTTTAAGCAGGTGATATATAGTTTGGGGCAATCCACCAAACTAGCTCTAAGCCACATAGTTCCTCAGGGGGACAGGACTATATCAGATGCACTACATGTCCTAGTAAAACTCACAAAGTTTCACATTGAAATGTTAGTTCTCTGGAATAAAAGTAGAAAGGTTCAGATGAGATTACCAAGAGGATGTAAGCTTGCTCCACCTTGAGGAAACTTGAAGGAAGATTTTGGTAAAGAAACTAAATAAATACCCAGAAATAATCTGAATGATGACCTTCTTGGTATAAGCACCCAAGTCTATTAAGGAAGCCATCAGAAGGATCACTTAGACTCACCTGTGTTGTGACTTTGTAGGCTACATAGGCATTCATACCATCCCCTGTGGGAGAATAAGAAAGCAAGAGGATTATTCTGTAAACCAAAACAGTGCTAATCTTGTTAACATTTAACCAGAAATCATAAGCTACAGGAGTCCTATATAAGAAGGGAAACTTATTTCCATATATAAGCTTTGTTGTATACTATTCTTAATTCAATTCCTACTTTGCCTCAGGGCCTTCATGCATTTCATGCCCATGGATGCTGGCTGGACCCCAGTTTGAGTTAGATAAGAGTCAGTCCCCTGTTCAAAGCCATTTATGTCCTCCACAAAGCAGCACTGGATACTGACAATCCATCAGTTGTTATCATGCCAATATTTGGCTGGTTGCACACATCTGTCTAAAACCAAACAATTCTCTTTCTGTATAAAACAGGAGGAGGCAAAGGAAGCAACTGATGTAAAAGGAAACAAGTAGTTCTATCCTAAACTAGCTCTGGGCTTGGTTTGCTCTTTCAGAAATACTGTCATTGGTGCTGGGGGACATTGACCTCTCTCATCTAACATGTTCACCCAGAGCAAAGGGCCTGGCTGGAAGAGACTTCAGCTGCCTGATGTCATACAAATCTCTTTCCTGGAGGAATTGTTTTTCTGAAACAGCCTTTGACTGTTAAATAATTTGGGATTCAAGCAATTGTTTTTCTCTTTAATAGTGTCCTGACCTAGGCCACTGAGGGACATAAAGGCACCATTGACTCCCTGAGCACTGAAAAGACATACATTGGACTGTAGACAGAGACAGCTCTGATGCTTGGGGCTAGACTCTGGTGTTTGGTGTTGATTTTGTTCCTTTCCTTCCTACTCCTTGATTCCCCCCCCCCCCCCCACACACACACACACACACACCAAACAGGAAACCCAGGTCAACAATTACTACTTGCTTAACCTTCTAAACTAGTTGGGGTTAAAGGCCCAGGGGAAGAAGGTGCAGTACTGGATCAGCAGGGTCACAACTTGGTTTCAGTGAGATGGCTGGGAAAGTACACAAAGAAGCTGTGTACCTATATAAGAATAGAGGGCTTGCCTTCTCCATCTTGCCAGCCCCTAATAAAAGTATGTATAAAATGGAAATCATATATTCAACTTTAAAAATTACTTTATACTTATTATTTCTAAAAAAAAATATTGATTTCTTACAGAGAGGAAGGGAGAGAGATAGAACGTTAGAAACATCTATGTGAGAGAGACATCGATCAGCTGCCTCCTGCATACCCCCCACTGGGGATGTGCCAGCAACCAAGGTACATGCCCCTGACCGGAATTGAACCCGGGACCTCTCAGTCTGCAGGCTGATGCTCTATCCACTAAGCCAAACCGGTTTCGGCTATACTGATTATTGCTGTTAGTTCTCTTCTAAACCACTCATACTGTATTGCTTAATATCACTAAGGATGCTTATCACTGATAAAAGAAAAAAGATATCTAGATTTATTTTATAGAAAAAGTCTTAAAAATTTCATTCACAGTTTAGTCATAGTCAAATATCCAAAAGGTCAATCCCATAATCTCCTGCCTTCAATTAAGAAAAGTCTAAGTGCACATATACAAAAAACACAGTAGCAGCCCTGGCCAGTTTGGCTCAGAGGATAGTGTCGGCCTATGTAGTGAAGGGTCTGGGGTTTGATTCTGGTTAGGGGTACATACCTTGATTGAAGGCTCAATTCCTGGCCCTGGTTGGGTGCATGCGAGAGGCAACCGGTCTATGCCTCTCTCACGTCAATGTTTTTCTCTTTGTCTCTCCCCCTCCCTTCCACTATCTCTAAAAATCAATGGAAAAATATCCTCTGGTGAGGATTAACACTCACTCACACACACGCACACACACACACACACCCCACAGTAGCAAAGCAGGATCTTCAGACACTTTGCCTACATATCATCTGCTCTCACTGAGGAAATGTGTGAGGAAAGAGAAATATTTGCATGTACACAGAGAACTCACAAGATATAGAAATGGGCTAGCAAATCAGTAGTTTTAAATTTATGTTAATTTCCTAAATAATTTCAGAAAGTTGAAGATGGCATATGCAAATTATCAAGACTGAAAAAGCATGTCCTGATAGAAGCAGGATTCTAATTTGATTTAATGTATGTGGAAATGAGAACCTCATGTTGAATAAACAGCCCACACAAATAAAAGGTGTTCCAATAAGATCAGGCCTTGAATATGAAAATGCTTTAAGCAGTTGGTTCTTGGCACCAACTTAAAGAGATGAAGACTTATCCTCAAAAGTGACTTGTATAATATTTAAATAAATCTGATCCATGCTATGTTTAAAAAATGGGTTGAATTGTGTTTCCCTGAAAAAGATATAGGGAAGGTCCTAAATCCCAGTATTTCAGAATGTGACCTTATTTGGAAACAGGTCTTTATAGAATTAATCAAGTGAAAATAAGGTCCATAGGTTGGGCCCTAATCCAATATGACTGATGCCCTTATAAAAAAGGGAAATTTGGACATAGAAACAGACACACATTAAGGGAAAATGATGTGAAAACACCCAGAAAGAATGCCATGTGACAACGAAGGCAGAGATTGGAGTAATGCATTCCCTAGCCAAGGAATGTTTGAGGCTCCTGGAGTGAGGAGAGAGCATGGAACAGTCCTTCCCTGCAATAGGAGAATGGCCTCACCAACTCCATGACTTTAGACTTTTGCCCTCCAGAACTCAGAGAATTTATTTATTTATTTATTTATTTATTTATTTATTTATTTATTTAAAATATATTTTATTGATTTTTCACAGAGAGGAAGAGAGAGGGATAAAGAGTTAGAAACATCGATGAGAGAGAATCATCGACTAGCTGCTTCTTGCACACCCTCTACTGGGGATGTGCCCGCAACCAAGGTACATGCCTTTGACCGGAATTGAACCCGGGACCTTTCAGTCCGCAGGCCGATGCTCTATCCACTGAGCCAAACCGGTGCCGGCAGAGAATTTATTTCTATTGCTTTAAGTCACCTGTTTATCGTATTATGTTATAGAAACTCTAGGAAACTGACATACCCTTCTGCTCCTGATTCAAACATCAGGACTTCTAAATATTAAAACAAGTAGTATTATTTACTCAAAATTTGTTTATCTTATTCTACAAGTATTTTAAGCAGCTCATAACTACCTTAAAACCAATGTGCTTATAGAATATTCATAAACATCAGAGAGGCAAGAGAGAATTCTAAACATGTAACCGCAAGTCCCGGTCCCGGCTTGGCCATGGATCACATTGTGACCTGACAGGAAAGCTACAATTGGTCTTCAATTTCCTCTGTTGTTGGAGAGTGAAGTGTGTAAGATGTTCATAAATATCTTACCAGTGCAACAGTCTAGGAAAAGTAAAACTCAACATTTTAACGACAAACTGTTTTAGTGTGAAGTCTAACTAGATTTTATAAATTCCTGTTTCTAATTCAGCATAGACAGAGATTGGAAATTACATTTTCCCACTTAACCGGCAGTTAGAAGGATAAGGCTCTGCGAATAGCATCTTCTGTAGGGATATACCTGGAACAAGGGAAGTTGAGGCCTGTTGCTCTCTGCTCACTAATACTTTCACAAGCTTGGGACAGGGAGAGGTTATTCTAAAAATCCAACTTCTGCCAAAGTTAAGTATTGTGTTTTTTGAAAATTTAATTTCAATTTGACCAAGATTCAACCTGGGTCTTTTACTCTTTACCTAAAATAGAGAGATGCAGATCTCCCCACTTTATTAGGACATCAAGAGTACATGATAAATGGTCTGTACCAAGAATTCCAAACTGCTTGAGGGAAAAAACAAAGTCAATATCCCCAAATTATAGATCATGTGTCTTTTTTGGTGTTTAAATGGGATTTATGAACGCAAAAGGGAAAATGATTTAATTAACTCAGTGGGAGAAGGAGATGTCTGAATTTTTAAAAAGGGATTCTAAGAGTATTTGAAGTCTCTGATTTTCGTGCCTAAAGCCAAGAAAAACCTAAGTAAAGTACTGGGTAAATTACATTTCTGGCCTAAAAAGAAGTATAATAAGGAGTATAATTTTACAGGAAAGATAATGAGGAAGTACTTTACAATGGCTAGTTCAGTTCTGGACTTAACTATCTAGAAATAAGCTAACTATACTTCCCACAGCCACATCCTAACGTCACAAGGAGTCCCAAGTACACTTACCTATCTTCTCAGGATCAGTTATACCGACTGTCAAATCAAATTGGTCTTCCTGTTCTTCTTCCTCTAGCTTTTAAAGAGAAAACATTCATGAGACTTGATATAAAAAAAGGCTATTAATTTTACCCTGTATTAATATTGTATTAATATGACATAAAGATTTATCCTTCAATGTACCAGTGTTCAGTTGTCCATTCCCAACAATACCAATGAACCAATTTCCACAATTTTAAGTTGGGAGGTTGTTCAAAGGTCTTTGTTATATCTATTATCTTAATGCCTTATTTTGATCATAATGAATAATTGCTAGATTTTGGAAAGTTTGCCTCTGTCAGGCTAAGGAGGAAATGAAGAGTCTATACTCTTGAATATGGGAGCTTCAGACACTAAATATTTACTCAGGGTAAAACTCAACTTCAGACTGGCAATATAGTTCTAAACACACACACACACACACACACACACACACACACACACACACACACACACAAAATAGATTCTCACCTCCTCGTAGCTTTGCTGGGGCTTAGAAGAATTTGTGGCTTCCTGCGGAGGAGGAGATATGAGTGTTTTTGCCGGCACCTTCTTCTGATTATTCTGTGTGCTGTCCAGTGATAGCTCCACTGTGGCATCTAAAAATAGTTCATATTTTATAGTGAAGGTTAATATTGGGTCTTTAATGGTTAAACTTCAGTTCTATAGGCTGTGACAAGAATAAGAACAACCACTCTCAATACTCAGAGGTTCTCAGACTAAGAGAATGAGAATCATGAAATTTTTACATGTCTAAAAGGGGAAGATGGTAAGGAAAGTATTCTTCTAGCACCAGCTTAATAGAGCCACATCTCTCATTTATAAATAGGACTACTTGGCTACCCCCTCTTACATAGAATTTAGACAAGAACCAGCTATCAACTAAAAAGACTACACAGCTAAAGTAAGTTTACCAATTTATTTTACTCTTAGGAACATTCCTTTAAAATCTTATATGGATCCTATTTATTCTTTTTAAATCATATACATATTTTATTGATTTTTAAAAATTTTTGTATTTAAAATATATTTTATTGATTTTGTACAGAGAGGAAGGGAGAGAGATAGAGAGTTAGAAACATCGATGAGAGAGAGTCATCGATCAGCTGCCTCTTGCACACCTCCCACTGGGGATATGCCTGCAACCAAGGTACATGTCCTTGACCGGAATCGAACCCAGGTCCCTTCAGTCCCCAAGCCGACGCTCTATCCATTGAGCCAAACCGGTTTCGGCTTTATTGATTTTTTTTGAGAGAGGAAAGAAGAGGGAGAGAGAAACATACACGTGAGAGGAAAAACATCAACATGAGATAGGTTGCCTCCTGCATGTGCGCAACCCAGGCATGTGCCCTGACCAGAAATCCAAGTGGTGACCTTTTGGTGTATAGGATAATGCTCAACCAACTCAGCCACACCAGCCAGGGCCTATTTATTCTTGTTATAATGGTTGCAAAAGAAGAATAAGTTTGGTTACCTACATTATAAGCCAATATGATAGAAAAGGCACGTATACTGACAGTAAAAAAAAAAAAAAAATGACATCAAAGGAAAAGTAAGAAAAACTATAAACTAGAAAAAATGAACCCAATATACAAACATAGTAACACTATTAAAGGACTATTTGCCACACCTGATGATGGTACTGTTGCTTTAGCACATTAAAAAAATTTTGATTTCAGAGAAAAGGGAGAGGGAAAGAGAGATAGAAACATCAATGATGAGAGAGAATCATTGATTGGCTGCCACCTGCACGCCCCCTACTGAGAATGGAGCCTACAACCCCGGGCATGTGCTGTGACCAGAATCAAACCCTGACCTCTTGGTTCAACCAAGATCCACACAGCCAGGCATTTTTAGCACAATTTAAGAATTGTTCACAATTTAGTTATAGATCACCTAGCAAAGGTTATGTTTAATATATGTGGTCCAAGAAGATAAAAAGACGTGTAATATCTAACAGATGCACGAAATCTGTTCAAGGGGCTCAGCCCTTGCAGCAGCAGCTTAGTCTGGAAGGTCATCCGGTCTAATTAGCATATTACACTTTTACTATTATTGATCTTTCTAATCAAGATAGTTTTACAAAATAGTGCTTAAGAGCTGCCTTTGTCTATCCGGGAAATTTCAGTTGAGCAGAACAACCCGTTCTCTAAGTGACCTAGAGAGAATTCTTTTAAAAGAGCATTATGCACCATTTTTAGGCATCAAAAATTTTTAGGCAATTTTTAAAAAAAGCAATTTAAACTCAGAGCAATGGAGCTAGCAGTTCAAAATCTAAACAGCTCAGATTTTTTTTTTCTTTTTAATAAAAAACAAAGTAAATATCCATTTGGGTTTAGCTTGATCACTAGATATTCAATTTCAGCTCTTAGGGAATTCAAAGAAAGCGGTTTCTTTTTCTTTTCTAGACTTTCATTTGGAGCTAAAATGAAACCAGAGACAGGGGTCTATAAGACGTAACCAAGTACTAGATCAATGTCCTAATCATGAAATGTGAATCATGTCTACAAATAAGGTTGTCACATTGTTGGAATCCAGTCCCTATCAGGAAAAGAGTGGTAACCTAATCTGACGCTGTGAAAGTACAAAACAAAAAAGTATACATAAGAAGTCAGGATTCTTTGGATTTCTTTTGTTTGAGGTTCTGTGTGCTTCCTGTACTTGTAAGTCTATTTCTTTCACCAGGTGGGGGAAATTTTCAGTCATTATTTCTTCAAATAGGTTTTCAGTCTCTTGCTCTCTCTCTTCTTCTGGCACTCCCATAATTCTGATGTTGGTACACTTGAAGTTGTCCTAGAGGCTCCTTACACTATCTTCATATTTTTGGATTCTTTTTTCTTTTCCAGTTGAGTGATTTTTGCTTCTTTGTATTTAAAATCTTTGACTTGATTCTTGAGATCCTCTAGTCTGCTGTTGGATTTCTGTATATTATTTTTAATTTCAGTTAGTGTATGCTTAATTTCTAATTGGTCCTTTTTCATATCTTCAAGGGTCTTGCTAAATTTATCAGCCTTTTCTAGAAAATTCCTTTTTAAAAAAAAATATATTTTATTGATTTTTTACAAAGGAAGGGAGAGAGAGAGACAGAGAGCCAGAAACGTCGATGAGAGAGAAACATCGACCAGCTGCCTCCTGCCCATCCCCTACTGGGGATGTGCCCGCAGCCAGCGTACATGCCCTTGACCGGAATCGAACCCGGGACCTTTCAGTCCGTAGACCGACGCTCTACCACTGAGCCAAACCGGTTTCGGCTCTAGAAAATTCTTTAAAAAAAAATATATTTTATTGATTTTTTTACAGAGAGGAAGGGAGAGGAATAGTCAGAAACATCGATGATAGAAAAACATCAATCAGCTGCCTCCTACACACACCTGGGGGTGTGCTCGCAACCAAGGTACATGCCCTTGACTGGAACTGAACCTGGGGCCTTTTAGTCCGTAGGCCGAAGCTCTATCCACTGAGCCAAACCGGTTTCAGCTCTAGAAAATTCTTGAAAAACCTTATAACTGATTTTGAACACTATATCCAGTCATTTGCTTTACTCCATTTCTTTCATTTGTGACCTGTTTGTCTTCACATTTTGTTTGCGTCCCTGTGTTGATAGAGTGGCTTTGTGTGCTAGGTGTCTTATAGGGCCAGTGGCTCAGCCTCCCCAGTCACCTGAGGTGGGCATTCGTGGTGCACCCCTTTGTGGGCTGTATGCACAGTCTTGTTGTAGTTAAACCTTGATTGTTGTTGTTATCACTGGGAGGAATTGGCCTCCAGGCCAATTGGCTGTGAGGATCAGCTGTGTCTATGATGGGAGGAATTCTGTCCTAGAAACACCCTTATGAGACAAGACTTGTTTCAGTGGGGCTTTGATGCTCATTGAGTCTGCCCCTGAGTGTGTCTCTTATGGGTCTGAGGAGTTGTAATCTGGATGATCTCACTCTGACTGCTGTTACACTGGCTCTTGGATCTCCAAGGAGGTGCTAATTTAGCCTCTTCCTGGAGCTATGGAGAGACCTGCAAATTCCTCTTTTTTGTTTGGGTTTTGGAGGTGCCCAGACGAGGCCCAGTTGTGAAGCAATGCAAGCTGCTGCAGAGCTTTGGGCCTTCTTTTGGATGTTCTGGGTCTCACTGACCCAGCTGCAGTTTGTTAAGTAAGGTTAGAATTCAAAGGACAAGGCCATTCACATGCAAAAGCCTCTGTGCTCAGCTTGGATGGGGTGGAATAAACAGCAATGGCTTCATAGGGCGGGATATCAGGGTGGAGCAAACAGCAATGGCTTCCTGTCAGCCCTGCCCTACGAGGCCCCTGGATCTCAGTGTCCCGTGGTAATTGCTGCAAGCACTTCTGAGAGAAAGCCGCCCTCAAGTTTCGCCCGCTGCCAGACAGTCCAGTTTCTACCCGTATGAGTCTGAGTCCCTAGAGTCTCGCCCAGAACTGGAGTTCAGAGCAGTTGGGAGCTTTTTTCTCCCTCCCAATTGAGAGAGCCAGCCGCGTACTCAGTTGCCAGCCCTCTCCACGCGTGCACCTCTGTGCCTCTGCCTTCCGCAGCTCCTGTGAGTCTCAGTGTGCTTTTCTTTTTCCTTCTAGTTGTAGAGTTTCCACCCAGCCAGTTTTCCTGTGGTTCTGATGATGTCTATTTTGTCTTTTTGTTGTAGTTTTGAAATTGTTGTGTGAGGTAGCAGTTTAGGTGTTTTCTATGCTGCCATCTTGGTTTCTCCTGATTTCTTTTGAAAAGTTTTTATCTTTCCCTTCCTACTTCCATCACCTTATTTTTGCTTTGTCATTTCATTCTTGAACTAATTTGTGAATACCTTCTGAAGTTTCTAATCTTTGTCCACTACATTCCATTTTATATAATAACTAATGGCCTGGTTTATGAAATTCATGCACATTAAAAGGGAATTAATTAGAGGAAATATTTTAACATTGTTATTTGCTCTTTCTAAATAATAGAAGTGTCAGAGATTAAAGAAAATTAGGAAATGTATATAAAAATCTCCCTCCTATCAGAGTCTAGGGCACGTTGCGGGACCCAGTCAAGTTCCTACCCATTCACGTGTGCCTTGAAATTGCGCAAGACTCAGACCTAGCCAGCCCCACCCCTGTAAGCTCCACAGGGTAGGGTATGGAGTCTCAGGTCCCCTGGTCTGGCACCAGGTTGGGGGCGCAGCCTCAGGTCCTCTAGCCCTGGCATAATGACCATTTGCATATTAGCTCTTTATTATATAGGATTACATAGGATCCACTAGATCAATCTTCTTAAAACATTATATTGCCCATATTCAGCACTAAACCAATGGCTCTTAATTGGCCCTACGATGAAAATTCAACAGTTCAAGATTAAGAAATCCCCATTCTATGCAAGTGTTTTTCTTTTTCTTTTCTTTTTTTTTTTTTAAATATATATTTTATTGATTTTTTACAGAGAGGAAGGGAGAGAGATAGCCAGAAATGTCGATGAGAGAGAAACATCGACCAGCCGCCTCCTGCACATCTCCCACCGGGGATGTGCCCGCAACCATCGTACATGCCCCTGGCCGGAATCGAACCCAGGACCTTTCAGTCCGCAGACCGACGTTCTACCACTGAACCAAACTGGTTTCAGCTATGCAAGTGTTTTTCAAACCACAGATTGTGTCTCATTTGTTGAATTGTGAAATTGATTCAATGGGTGCAAATATCATTAAGAGAAATAATAAAAAATTTCAGATTGTATTGAAAGTTGTAAGGGAAAGTAATTTAATAAAACTTGTTCAGATTTATATCTATCTATATTATAAAAACCCAGTGGCCTTAACACAGTAATTACCAAAGACCGGTCACCAGGAGGTTGTGTGTGCGGCAAGGTGTGTGTGGGTGGGCGGGGCTGTGTGTGTGGCAAGGAGCGTGCAGGTAGGCAGGGACTTGATTCTGGGTCTCGCGGTGTGGCGGGACTCAGGGGAGTCCCATGGTGTGGTGGAGTCTGGGGTCCCGGTTCTCGTGTGATTTCCTGTGGGTCTGGGTCTCACATGATTTTGTGCACTGGTCACTAGTATATATACAAAAGCCTAAGCGACCATTATGACCACTCAACTGGTTGCTATGACACACTGACCACCAGGGGGCAGATGCTTAACGCAGGAGCTGCCCCCTGATGCTCAGTGCACTCCTACAGCCAAACTCCCATGACTGGCCAACCTCCCTCATTCCCTCCCCTCCGCAAGGCTGGCCCCAATTGGCCCTGATTGGGACTGGGAGAGATGGCCCCAATCATCTCTAGTAAGTAAATATATATATATATATATATATATATATATATATATATATATACACACACACACATATTTTATTGATTTCAGAGGAAGGGAGGAGGATAGACAGAAGTATCAATAATGAGAGAGAACCACTGATTGGCTGCCTCCAAAATGCCCCCACTGGGGATTGAATTCACAACCAGGGCATGTGCGCTGACAGCAAATCAAACTGTAACTCCCTGGTTCATAGGTCAATGCTCAACCACTGTGTCATGCCAGCCGGGCAGTACATACATATTTTAGATGATGACAGTAAAATATATTTCTGATTCTAAAATATATTTCTTGGTCATAAAAGTCTAAAGCCAGCTGAAACCAGTTTGGCTCAGTGGTAGAACGTCAGTCTGCGGACTGAAAGATCCCAGGTTTGATCCCAATTAAGGGCATGTACATTGGTTGCGGGCACATCCCCTGTAGTGGGTGTGCAAGAGGCAGCTGGTTGATGTTTCTCTCTCATCGACGTTTCTAGCTCTCTATCTCTCTCCTTTCCTCTCTGTAAAAAAATCAATAAAATATATTAAAAAAAAAAAAAAAAAGCCTAAAGCCACTGCTTTAGTCTGATCTCTGACCTCTCTGAGCTCCCATGCCTCAGCAAGTCTATCATTCTTCCGGTCACATTTATATTACTGTTTAATAATCTGTTTAACTGATGTTCTTAACTATATATTTATGTTTTATTCCCTAAACCTGAAGAAACTTGATGGCAGGGACTGTGTTTTATATATTTTGAATCCTTCACAATCCTAGTTATGCTGCCAATATGTAGATGTATTTTTTCTTAGAGGAAAGGGGGAAGGTTACTTTAACTCAGTAATTTAAAAGATCCCTAGTACAAGTGTTGAATCCATACTTGCCTGCAAAGAGATCCTGTGGCTCTTGATCTTGTTCTTCATGGATTCCATTTTCTTTGGAGCCACTGCTGACAGGAAAGGAAGTAATTCTCTTTGGATACTGGGGGTTACTCTAAAAAAATAAAAGAGATACTGTGAATAAGACAAAGTACCATTAAAAACAAACCTATAAAGTGACTTCTGTGTTGTTGTTTTATTAGCAGAATATTTATTCTGGCCCTGGATTGGTAACTCAGTTGATTCGAGCATTGTCCTGATATGCCAAGGTTGCAGGTTTGATGCCTGGTCAGGGCACATACAAGAATCAACCTATCCTATATAATAAAAGCCTAATAAGCAAATTGTTCCCTTTGGCCGTCTTTTGACCAGGAGTTTGACTGGTTGCTATGATGTGCACTGACCTCCCGGGGGCGGCGTGGGACATGGGGGGCATTGGCGACATGGTGTTGGCAGCAGTGGAGGCACTACCAGCCCAATGGGCCTCAATGAGAGCCTGACTGTGGTGGGGTGGTGGAGCAGGTAAACAAGTGGCACCAGGCCAAGGCAGGTGCAAATGGGGGCCCGATTGCCCTGTCGATTGCCCTGTAGATGGCAACTAGTGGCGGTGGTGGGGTGCAGGCTACTGCCTAGCTCCCAGGCATTGAGGGAGCCTCGGGGGACCTGACCCTGATCAATCACCCTTCAGCGGGATGGTGGAGCAGGTGAGGGGGCAGCACCAGATCAAGGCAAGGTATCAGGCGGGGCTTCAGGGTTGCAAGGCCGGGGGTGCAAGCTGGTGAGAGCTGGGGTCCAATCTCTGCAGGCTACCCTGAGGGACCCCACCCATGCATGAATATGTGCACCAGGTCTCTAGTGAATAAATAAGAGCAACAAGAAATTGATGTTTTCCTCTCAATATATAAAATAAATAAATAAACATATTTTTTTAAAATAAAAAAATGCAGCCTGCAGACAGGTTCTGTGCCTTCAAGTCTATGGATCATTTTTTTTTTCTTTCTTAAAAAAATTATATATATATATATATTTAATTTTTATTGTTGTTGTTGATCCTCATCTGAGGATATTTTTTCAAATGATTTTTAGAGAGAGTGGAAGGGAGAGGGAGAAACTGAGGGAAACATTGATGTGAGAGAGAGACATCAATTTGTTGCCTCCTAACACACCCCAACTGGGGAACCTGCAACTAAGGTACATGCCCTTGACCAGAATCGAACCTGGGATCCTTCAGTCTGCAGGCTGACACTCTATCCACTGAGCCAAACTGGCTAGGGCTGTTTTGTGTGTGTGTGTTTTTTTAAATATATTTTTTATTGATTCCAGAGAGGAAGGGAGAGGGAGAGAGAGAAAGATCAATAATGAGAGAGAATCATTGATTGGCTGCCTCCTGCACACCCCCTACTGGTAATTGAGCCAGCTACCTGGGCACGTGTCCTGACTGGAATGAAACCTGGGAACCTTCAGTCCGCAGGCCAATGTTTTATCTACTGAGTCAAAACAACTAGAGCTCATGTTTTTTTTTTAAATTTAAATTTATTTGGAGTGACACTGATTAATAAAATTATATAGGTTTCAAGTGTATAATTCAATGAAAATGACTTTTAATGCATCCTTTAGTCACTCCTACAGTTATTTAGGAGAAGAAAGGAGCACTAGTCAGCCAGTTCAATAAGCAGCAAACCAATATTAGTGGTGTAAGTGCTGCCCAAGTAATCATAGAGCTGAAACAAACTGATACATTTTAGAGTTAATTTCTAACACCAAAACCTTGCTGAAATGCCCTACCCCAAAGCACATGATACTGATGCGGGTGTGTGTACACAGAGATAATTTTCAAAAGAACCCGTCCAAGCGAACTTCTCCTTCTCAGTTGATGACCTTTATTCTTTCAAATGCTGATGGGGCACATTCTAGGGACAAGGACCCCATACTGGATTCCAGTATTTAACCTCTGATCCTGGCTTACTTTGTTGTCTTGGCTAAACTGTTTATCGAAACCCAGTTGTGTGGGTGTTGCTGATCCCTCTGGAGAGGCAAAAGAAGTTTTTTTTTTAAGGCTTAAAAAAAAAAAAAATATATATATATATATATATATATATATATATATATATATATTATTGATTTTTTACAGAGAGGAAAGGAGAGGGATAGAGAGTTAGAAACATCGATGAGAGTCATCGATCAGCTGCCTCTTGCACACCTCCTACTGGGGATGTGCTCGCAACCCAGGTACATGCCCTTGACCGGAATCGAACCCGGGACCTTTCAGTCCTCAGGCTGACACTCTATCCACTGAGCCAAACTGGTTTCGGCCAAAAGAACTTTTAACACTTTACTCCCCATGCTGTTGTTAAAATAACTTATCTTTTCATCTTTAACTTACATAGACACAATTTTCAACCATACCCATGTCAGAATAGGGGAATAAAAACCAGTCATGCTTAGTTTAGTGGGAACATAGTGAAAATACAGTCAGTCCATGGCCTTTATCAAAAGCTCAGTGATCAACCAACAAACAAGTGTGGGGAGAGACCCGGACCAGTTACTGGAACAAACAGTGCTGGATTGTGCAGGACAGAAACAGAAAGCTGGGAATCTGGTTTCCAAAGCGGTGGTGTGGTTTCGCAGGGCTTTGAAGTCAGACCCTAAGGCTAAATCATTTAAGACTTGACTTACAGAATCTTTTATGAAACATTTCCTTAACAAATCAAAGGGATTTAGTTCCTTAGAAACAGGCCATTTCTGACCCAAAAGGGGAAAGTGAAACGATAGATCTATTGAGAACTCTGAATATGCCATGCAAACTGCTCCACCCCAATACTGGGACCACCCTCAGGGAAAGAAACTGTTACCAATATTTAATTTTATATTAGCAAACAATGTTTCTACTGGAATTTTTCCTATGTGTATAAAATTTAATGAGCACTTAGGTGTATATACTTAAAGCTACACCAATTGTCAAGAAACTTCTAGCTGCTTCAATCTTAAAAAGCAGAGACATAGACAACAAATAATAGAGCAAAAACAAAACCCACTTTTCCCTTTTCCTCACACAGAGCCAATCACCTTCTTACATATACATTTCCTATAAATATTTTTGTGTTCTTGTACAGTAGAGGGATCTCATAAAAAGCCATCTGATGTTTTAAAATTGGGGTGACATTGGCTAATACAAGTTTCAGGGGTACAATTCTATAACACATCATCTGTATATTTTATTGTGTTCACCATCCCAAGTCAGGTCTCCTTCCATCACCATTTATCACCCTTTACCCTCTCCTAAGCCCCCCACCCCTTCCCTTCCCAACTGATTTCTTTTTAATTCAGTTCCCACTGATACCAGTCATCTGTAGGTGGAAATCTAGGAGAGATTAAAACACAAAATTCATTATTAAGGATGAATATATTTAAGCATAAGTTACTAGTAGCTCACTAGGGATACTGAAGCAACAGAAGGGCACAGGTTGGAATTCAGCCATTTTAAAAAGCTTCTAGAAGAACCCATTCCTGTGAACAAAGCCAGCTTTCTATTTTTGATTTACAATCTAAATTTGAAAGCTTAAAGACAAAGAATATTTTCTGGAGCCATGTGTCTATCTCTGTACTACTCAGAAAAGACAGAACCAGATGGATGGAATACTAGAGCACAATTATCTGTCTTTCTCTCTTCATCAGACCATCTTTGAGCCTAAACCATAATTGCTTGACTAGAACTGTGATGAAAACAGACTTGTGCTCTCTAACAGCTAACTAACAACCATCCATGAGAACAGAAAACTGCTCCTCAGATATCCTCTGGGACTCCATCCTAAAAACCACTCAGGATTGAGTTCTAGATACTGTGTTTCCCCGAAAATAAGATCTAGCGCAACTTTGGGAGAAAAAATTAATATAAGACACTGTCTTATTTTCGGGGAAACAGGGTAGTTAAAGTTTTAGGTAATTGAAGATAGATGGATTACTATAATTACTACCCTAATCTTTCCTCTATTTCTTCTATGTACTAATCTATGTATATAAAAGTTTGTATTTGTGTTTGCCCCTACCATCTAAGCATTTTTCAAAGAACCAGCTCTTGGTTTCATTGATCTTTTGTATTATTATTATTTTTTGGTCTCTATGTAATTTATTTCTGATCTTTATTATTTCCTTCCTTGTACTTTGGGCTTTTCTTGTTCTCTAATTTTTTAGGTTGTAGGGTTAGGTATCGATAGTTTATTAATAATTTTTGTTTTTTGAGGTAGGCATGTCTTTCCTCTCAGAATTGCTTTCGCCGTGTTGCACAGATTTTGGGTTGTTGTGTGTTAATTCTCATTTGTTTCCAGGAAGTTTTAATATTTCTTTCTTAATCTCATTGGTAGCCCATTCATTGTTTAATAACATGCTATTTAGCCTCCAAATGTTTGAATGTTTTTGAGTGTTTTTATTGCAATTGATTTCTAATTTCATGCCACTAATCCAAGAAGCCTGACATAACTTTAATCTTCTCAAATTTGTAGAGACTTGTTTTGTGTCGTAACATGTGGTCTATCTTTGAGAATGACCTATGCGCACTTTAGAAAAATGTATATTCTGCAGCTTTGGGGTGAAATGTTCTGTAAATGTCAGTTAAATCTATAGTATCCAGTGCGTCACTTGTTGATTTTTAAAAAATATATATATTTTATTGATTTTGTACAGAGAGGAAGGGAGAGAGATAGCGAGTTAGAAACATCGACGAGAGAGAGTCATCAATCAGCTGCCTCTTGCACACCCCCTGCTGGAGATGTGCCCACAACCAAGGTACATGCCCTTGACCGGAATCGAACCCGGGACCCTTCAGTCCTCAAGCCGACGCTCTATCCATTGAGCTAAATCGGTTTCGGCTGATTTTTAAAATATAAATATATTGACTTCAAAGAGGGAGGGAGAGAAATAGAAACATCAATGATGAGAGAGAATCACTGATTGGCTGCCTCCTGCACACTCACTACTGGAGATAGAGCCTGCAACCCAGCATGTGTCTTGACCAGGAATTGAACCATGACCTCAATCGGCTGCTTCCTGCACATCTCCTACTGGGCACTGAGCCTGTAACGTGAGCATGTGACATGACTGGGAATTGAACCGTGACCT